GATCCATCACGTATCTTTACGCGCATGATATGTAGATACGCGTCTCTGTATACGCGAACGTACACACAACCGGCGCGCTCTCCGTTAATACATCGAATACCCAACGGCCGTACAAGAGAATAGCGTAGTATAAAGCATAAACTACAATTAGTGGTAATCCGCGTGACACGGGCATGGCACCCTTTGCGCATATTAGAGCATTAGCTGCCGAGTCATACGAGCGAACCGTACATCATTTCGGGACGTGCCCACGTCTACCGGCAAAATCGTTAAATTTACGAAGAAACACGACTGACCCGATACATAGTGACTGAATATAACTCGCGAGGCATGGCGCCCGCGGCAGCATCGTGCGTATCGCGTCGTTATTGCGCAAATAACGGGATAAGTTTTTACGCAAAATTGCGCGAGCGTAATGATACGGCTGACGGGGGAGGGTTTCGTCGGGGAGAGACTCGGGCGATCGAGCTAAATCAAGCCAAATGGAACGCCTTGCTTTGCATGCTGGCGAACTCCGTTATGTTATGGACGGATCATTAGACAGGACTGTTCCTATTTGCCCCGCGACTGCATGATTATTTACTGCTCCCATGTCGCGAAAACTAGTTTGCATCGACCACGGTGATAAACGATCTAAGCTCGCCGCGTTAATGCCGCGGGTTAATGCAGTTCTCGTGATTATCAAGACGTTGACGACGCATCTCACGGATAAAGACTCGGAATCCTGCCACTTATCTGTACAGTCGAGTAAGTACGGCAACGGGGGCACCACGATTTTATGGTTTCACGGAAATAGATATGGACTATACAGTCAAGAGCCAAGCGAGGCAGAACGCGATCGTAAAAAAAAAAAGAAAAAGAGAGAGAAAGAAAGAACGAGAGAGATATTGGACTATTCCGGAAAGGTGCATCGTCTGCAGAGTCTGTTTTAAGAGGATGAAAGATTCTTGAAATGTAAGTTCTTTTCCTATGATTTGCGACGCAAAGCAGATTACTTAAAAGTTATGGCGGCCGCCCACACCGGCATCGAGCCGTTATCGACGCGGTTTACGCAGATACATCAATAGCTGTTACACACAGCCATTTACATACCCTTATTTTTTTACGTACCTCCGAGAACGTTAAGGTTTCTATAAAATAAACTCGCACGACCGCAGCGCAGCTTTTATGATCCGTAACGCTTTTTACAGCGCAAAGGGAATCAATCGGCGCGAGCGCGTATCTTCGGGAGAATCAAGGAAGATAGCGGAATAACAACGATCGATCGCTTTCATCTTAATCTCTACTGACATTCTATTTCCACATTATTCCCGGCGATACAAATTCTGCACAGCCCGCACTTTTTTCTTTCTTTTTTTTTTTTTATGAAAATAACGTCGGAAAAATTCTGGCCGATTGTCACGACTCCGGATCATATTCTTTTTTTTTTACGCGAAATAATTTCAATAAAAAGTTCGAAACGGTCGATTCTGCACTGGATGTTGGGATGAAGTTTGGTTTTACAAACTGGATTCAGGAACTGCACATTCACGCTAGGTATCCCATTCCGTATCAACAGTCAGTTTCAGTTACTTTGTAGTAATTTGCCTAACAGATAACTATGGTGCAACTTTTATTAGCGAATACAAATCAAACGACTTGCGTGAGGTGCCCATAGTCGGAGGTTGTAGCCTGATCAGACGTACTACTTTTCGAGAACATGCCCTCATTTTTACATTGCATCCTCGGACTTCCTCGCGTATTCTTTATATACTGATTCTCATTTCACATTCACAATTCGTGATCATAAATTTGGATATATTTTCTGTTCTATTTGCTACCTTCGTATACTGCGGGCATATATATCAGCAGTCAGATTTATATGAATCTGTGAAATACCGTTCTCCGAATTTTTTCACGCCAAATTTATAAACAGTGTTGTGATTAATATAATATGCAAAACGAAATGTAAAGCGCTTTCGCGTTGTTTTTGTCATTAAATATAGAGCATTTATTTCCAGGATACTCATTCATTAATTATCGGACGGTCGTATGTTTATTTTATGTCAGTGAAAAGCGCGCAAAATAAGCATTGCTCGGCGTATCCTCCAGAATAAACTCGAGCCAAAATTTTGCCTTTACAATAACACTGCAAATTCTGTCAAATTTAAAGGACCAATAAAGAATTTCAAGATATAACACGATGCAAACTATTGCACTACCTGGATACTGCAAATAATGACTCACTGTCGTTACTTTTATCTTGAATATTGTAAAGAAAAATATTTCAAAATTATTTGATACTTGATTATCTCTCATAATATTCTACACACATCTATATTTAATATTTATTCTTAATTTCCATCAGCAATGTATTAATTAGTTAATCGTAATTTATTAAGCTGCAAATAAAATATGTGAGATGGGTAAATATTAAATAATTCAATAAAAATTAAAGATTAATATGCAGATAAATAAAAGAAACAATAATTTTTTATTCCCTCATCTCTCTTCCTCATCTCGATATAATGAGATATTAAATAATTTTCTTTGAATATACAATAAATAATTAACCATATAATTGCTAAAATTTTATTTCTAAAATTCTTTTTCTTTTCCCTCTTTTAAATCTCTGTATCGTGACAAGTTTCTCACTTCAATAAAAAATCATAAAGAAGTTGTTAAGGAAGAAAATTTTCTTTTTATTCGTTTCCTGATCTTTATTGAATTATTTGATTTTTTTATCTCGCATACTATATATTTACAGTAGGTAAGTAATTAATACATTGCTGATTGAAATTAAGAATAAGATGAAACGTATTTTAGAATATTGACAAATAATTGAATATTAAATAATTCTATAGAATAAATCTTTCTTTAAAACTCAACATAATCGAGCTAGGACAAAATAGCTTACACAATGCTGTAACTCCAGATTCTCTGTTGATGCTTCAAGTTTGGTGGAATTTGCAGGGTTAATGTAGAACCAAAATTTCGACTCGGTAAAATAAACAGTAATGCACTACGATACACCGTAAGCGCCAATTAAGTTTAATTGATGCCTAAACCGAACAAAGGAAATGCGAGGCGCGGAATTCCAATTCCTTCATTTCAATCAACAGAAAAGTTTAGAGCAACAGCCTTGGAATGGAGCAAATGTGGTTCGCAGAATTGGCCTCATCGGTCACCAGAGAAGCGTGGAACAGCGTAGTTCCCTCTGCCATTCTCATTTGCGGTTGTCGGTCCACTGCCATTCCACCACCCTCGCAACCGCTTTCGTCCTTTACACCTTCGTATATTTCGTTCCAACAACACGTTACGTTGTAAGTCTCCTCTGAACGGCCGTAAGATGCATAGTGATTGATTGTTTGGCGCTTCGGTACCCGCCGGAACTATTGAAAGTGGTCGGGAACGAGCGTCGGAATTCAATAATTCGATTCTCACGCAATGTTCTGATTAGATCACGTCACGATAATAGATGATGTAATTAAGTAAAAGAATTTTGGACATGTAAACAATATTTTAACCAGCGTACCACATATATCCATTCCAAATTAATATTTCAAGTCAATTAATATGACGTTGTTGTCGAGTGCCTTTTGTATTGGAGCAGTAGCACACAAACACGTTATCGAATAAATAAATTATTATTTAAAAATAGCTTTGTCGTCATTCATTTTTGCTCTCTTTTATATTTTCCCAGTTTTACTTTGTTTTCCACAAACCGATGAAATAAAGATTATACGCATATATTATCAGTAATGTTATTTTCAAGCTTTCAAATAGTTTTCCGACATAAAAACCAAGTTATATATATCCACATCTCAAAGAAAAAATAGAATATATTTAAAACATACAATTATGTTATCATAATATATAATTTTTTATTCAATATCATCTCGTTCCAGAATATCAAATGAAAAAATTATATATATATATACACTGATACGTTAAATTTTTCTCACACTGATAAATACATCGCGACAAAACAAATTTATTCTCTTTCTTATTGAAGCACATGTACTGTAGCATCAAAGTGCATAGCGTGTTGTATGCATAGCCTCTCAAACTTGAAGATCCAGTCAAGGGTCAATGCGTGCCAATTACGAGAAGCTACCTAAATCTCCCTTGAGAGTACTTCTCGCTTGAAGGGTGAGTGTAAATATCGTCATTAGCAAAATTAGTAAGTGTCAGGAAATTAATAATTTGAATAATCACGTTATTGTAGTATCTATATGAGGATACAAAGAATTATCATTGACAAATATCCCACTGCTGAAATTTATAATCTATATAGTTCTCTTCTATATTTTTAATTTTTGTATATTTTTCTATAAAAAGAAAGAGATAACAAGGACTAGGGAATTTATATTCACTAAAAATCAATAGAAGAAGATAACTGCCGACCAATGGTAACTGAATTCTAGTAGAAACGTAGTACCTCTAGGGAATAATACGCGAGTCGTGTGGTTACTAGAAAATTTTTTCCCTTTCTGTAAATAACAGATATGTAACATGTAGCAATTAATTATAGTGTTGTTTTCTATCACGTATACACACTATTTCCTGTAAATATTATTAAAAATGACAGAATGTTATTAAAAATTGTATTCGAAAAATACAGTCTGCATGTTCCGATATTCACTGCCAACATTGAAAAAACATAGTTTGTGTCACGTATACTATAGATTTTCAGTGCTGGCAGTGAATATCGGAACGCAGCCATATGGTCTGTTCTGTTTAGCTACACTACTGAACTGGTGCGATAAGTTAAAGTGAGAAAAAATATAGTTGTCTCATTCTAACTTATTGCACTAGTTCCGCAGTGTGCAGCTAGAAAGAACAGACCAATAATGGACAGGCATTGTCTTTTGGGACCTAACTTGATTGGTACTTAGAAGTATCAGATCTAGAAGCATATGCGAATCACAAGTAACTCAATAAGCATACAACAGTTATGTTTTTTGATCACGACCAACATGGTATCATAGCAAGCTTACTGTTTGAAATTTATCACTATCTTGTACGATTGAAATATAGTGAAAGTATATGTACCTATGTGTTCTTTTGTATAGTAAACAAAAATCTTAGTGTTGAGCACAGTTCAAAATAGTTATCTTTGACCTTAGTGCATACTTTGTGTCAATACTTAACCTTAAAACTGAGATTATATTATGAAAACAAATTATTTTTTAAATTTGTAAATTGTTATTTGTAATCCAGCAACTAAAATAAAATTAGAAAAATGTCGTATTTAACGAGAAAAGAAATAGACGAAATGAAGCCTCAGATTGAAAAAGCGGTTCACAAGTTCCTTGGCTTCAGTGAACCAGCAATAGTTACTACTGCTGTAAATTGTATCACTTCTGGGTATGATAAACGTAAAACAGCAGGTCAGTAGTAAATGTGTAACAAAAATATTTTACATAAAACGTCTACTGTCAATTTTTATATGAAAGGCAATATTACAATATACGTGCGACATGATAAGAATATGTATATATGTATAAAATTTTATAATATATATTTTTTAAATTGTAGACAAATTATCAGCATTATTAGAAGAGAAGAAAGCTTCTAAATTGACAGAAAAAATATTTACAATATACGATGATACTAAAGCAGCTCAAAAAAACAAAAAGAGAGCTCATGCCGAAGATAAGGATAAAGAAAAAGATGTAAAGAAATCAAGATTTAGAGATGATGATGTAAAAAATGACAAGCCTATAGAGACTCAATATTCTGAAGATAAGGTACACTATAAAATTTCTATTTTCACAATCGTAACTTTCTAATATTAGTATAATACTTTCTGTATGTGTTCTAATACTTGCTTTATATATATTTTTAGATAAGACAAATGATGGCTAATGCACAAAGGGAAATAGAAGAGAGGAAAAGAGCTTTGAAAGCAACAAACCAAGAAGATATTTCTGCAAAGCCGCTATTCAAGGGACGTGACACATTACCTACAGTAGGGAGCATGTATAATCAGGGCCTATTAAGTAAAACGGATTCAGACAAGGCACGGAAAATAGCTGCATTGCAAGCTCAAATCAGGAATAAGCTAAACTCAGGGGTACTTGGTAATGTTAATGTACCAGACAAACCAACACCTTTAATCTTAGATGAATCTGGCAGAACAGTAGATATAACAGGCAAAGAAGTGCAACTCACTCAAGTAGTACCCACTTTAAAAGCTAATATACGTGCGAAGAAGAGGGAAGAATTCAAGGCTCAGTTGCAAGAGTCGAAAGGTCCAGAAGAGATACAAGATACGTACTTTTTCGACAATAGAATAAGAGTGAAATCAGCGGTACGCGGTAAACGTTCATTGAAATTTCACGAACCGGGCAAGTTCCAACAACAGGCGGAAAGAATGCGCATGAAGGCGCAATTAGAAAAACTACAAAATGAAATTAGTCAAATTGCTAGAAAAACTGGTATTAGTTCGGCGACTAAATTAGCTCTCATAGCACCTAAGAACGAAGCTCTCTCTGAAGATGTGCCTAATGTGGAATGGTGGGATTCCGTTATATTAACCGGTGGATATCCCAATGAAGATGAGCCAACGACAATCAAAAGTTCTACTATCACCAATTTAGTGGAGCATCCGACGCAAATGCGAGCCCCGAGTATATATTAAATTAATTTTATCTCTCTCATGTATCTCTCTCTCGTTAATATACTCGTTAAAATACACTATCAACTCACACGTAATTATTTCGTACCGTTACAGCGGATCCTCTGAAGCCGATATACATGCCTGTTTTCCTCACGAAGAAAGAACGTAAGAAATTGAGGAGGCAAAATAGACGAGAGGCATGGAAGGAAGAGCAAGAGAAGATTCGATTAGGATTAGAACCACCGCCAGAGCCGAAGCTACGTATCTCGAATCTCATGCGAGTTTTAGGGACCGAAGCTGTGCAGGATCCTACTAAAATCGAAGCTCATGTACGGCAACAAATGGCCAAGAGATTGAAAGCCCATGAGGACGCGAATGCAGCGCGGAGACTTACTGCTGATCAACGTCGCGAGAAAAAAGCTAGGAAACTTAAAGAAGATACCAGTCTCGGTGTACACGTTGCCGTTTACAGGTGTGTATGGATATATTACACATTACGCGTATATATTGTATGTGTAATTTTATCCTGCGCATCATATATATGCATAACGTATAATAAATGTTTTTATTACAGAATACGCGATCTTACGAACAACAATGCCTCAAAGAAATTCAAAGTGGAAACCAATGCGAAACAACTCTACCTCACCGGTTGCGTGATGCTGTTCAGAGACTGTAATGTTATTGTAGTAGAGGGCGGAGCGAAACAATTGGCCAAGTACAAACGATTGATGATGCATCGCGTCAAGTGGGAAGAGGATATAGTAAAGGATAACGACGGGAACGACGTACCAAACAGATGCGTGCTAGTTTGGGAGGGAACGAGCAAGCAACGGCATTTCGGCGATGTGAAGACTAAATTGTGTCCGATCGAGAAGATGGCTCGAGAACATTTCAAGAAGCATCAAGTCGAGCACTATTGGGACCTGGCCTACAGTGGCGCGGTTCTCGATAACACAGATGACGTACGTTCTTAAGACGTACTCTTGTAAATTAACGAGGCGTATACTATTACAAATGCAGTGATAAATTTCTGTACAACTTAATAAAACGGAGGTACTATGAGGAGACAGACAAAAGAGATGTATCGGTGACTGATAAAACATAAATAAAAAAAAAATAGTGGTAACCTGAAAGATGTACTTGTGGTTACCATGCGATCCTACATTCGAATCTTGGGATAAGGCGCAGTCACGTCGCGCCAGCTGAACCTACTACATGTATAAACGTACGTCATATTTGACCGTCCGATCGTTTATACCGTATTTCGACAACAGCTACCAAACGTTAAGAGAAATTTCTGCTCGGCGAAGACAGCAATTTCGCCTCGTCCCACGCACGACACGACACGCGATTTATCACCGGCAACTATCCCGTTCATCTGCACGGGGAAAGTAGCGTACAGAGGGACGCGTGCGGGACTGTCCGAATGAATCACGGATGGTGTCATCCCGAGGAATCTTAATCCGCGAACGACATCGCGGTCGAGCCCGTACGCGACAATTAGCATAGCGCAATGGCGCTGTGATGTGCCTACTGTTATGACATTATGCAAAGGAAGACGCGCGCGCGCGCGTGCGATATGCCGCCGTCTCACGACGTACGAACGAAGGTGCGAACGGAACGTCGGGCCTTGAAACCTTCGGCACCTACGGCCGCAATTTCCAATAACGTAGCTGAGGAAAGGCGAACCTTGGTCCCGTTCATAACGCACTAATACGGCAGCCCGCCGTGCCGCGCGATGCACTTTTACCAGCCGCGTACGTGTTATACTTCGATGCACCACCGTGTATACACCATTGATAGCTCGCGATTGCTGCGATCCTGGTTGGGGCCCCACTCCCTAGGATAGACCGGACGGACTCCGAGTTTTACTTTCGTTCGTCCGAGCATCGCACTCAGTTCAGGTTTACCGCTGCGCGTTCTCGCGCACACCGTTCTCGCGCGGCTCTTGCGAAATTCCACGGGGCAGATGAATGCCACCGCGTATTAAGTACAGGAGTGATCCTTACGTTGCGAGGATATCGCGCGCATTATCCCGAGAAAGATGTTGGTTCCGGCCAGAAACATCGCCGCCGCCGGCACGCTCGTCTTCGTATCGCGGTGAGTGCTTTTCGATTGTACCAGTATACGTTCCAGCGTATGCGATAGGTCAGCGATTAATGTTATTCGTTAAAACAAAAGACTTGTGCACACGTCCGGTTTGAAATGATGATATGGAAATTGCGGCGGCTCTCTTGCGGTTCAACTAATGTAATATTTGTAATAGCGTCTGCAAAACTCAAATTCCTTTTTGCTTTGTAAACACTGATCTGACGATTTGAGAGGGCAAAGTAATAAATAGATAAGGACATGTGATTGCAAATATGCCTTGAAAATTCCGACAGCCTCATTTCCCGCGCGGCAAAAGCAATTGGAAATGATACGCGAAAGAATTAATTCAAGAAACCGTACATAGAAAATTCACCTGTGAAGCAACACTGTTGATTCTAACCGACCGGCAGCTCCTGTTCGTTAAAAGAAGGAACGTGCTGTCCGTAATATAGGGAAGATGAAACAGCGCGCGAGCGAGAACAATGCGCTTACATAATTGACTATTTTTCCCAGTATGGGTTTCGTAAGGATCGTTAGCCGCTTCGAAATCGGAAGGGTTGATTAAGCGTGGGTTGTTACATATCGGATAATTAGCTCATAGATTCCATCCCGGCGGCGGATAAACAGCGAAACGGCAACGTTATGAAACCTGCTGCTAATGTGAATGTGTTGAAGTCTTGGCATAACGATTTGTACTCGCAGTCAGGTACGTTTCTCTCAATCTCATTACTTCATCAAAGGTTACCGATTACGTCGCGCGAGACCCGTTCGGGGTCTCCACATAAATCGCCGTACGATCGTCGCGTGGGCGACACGAAACTAATTGCTTAATAATTATTATAATAATATTGTACAGTCGCTGCGCCTCGCATACCATGTCGGCTCGCGCAAAGATCTGCGCTGCAGACTTGTTGCTAAGACAATACATCTCGTACAGATTATCTCTGACTATTATTTGAAAATAATAAGTCACTTTGAGGCGTTTATTCGTGAGGATGAAGATTGCGAATGTCAATCAGGATTTTATATAAGAGGCGTGAGAAAATATATAACTCACTGCAAACTGTACCGTCGTAGTGCAGTCAACGCAGTCCTTCGATGCGGTCATTGTGATGATCCTTCGACGCAGTCATCGTAGTCCTTCGGTAGGATCGTCGCAGCGAATTTGACACTTTTCCTCAATGCGATCGTCTGAAACGAAAAAGATTCGAACGAATGTTAGAAATAATGCTTCCGCAAAAATGGAAATTTAGTCGAATTCGAACTGAACTCAGTGCCGAAATAGTGCCGAAATTGGCATTTCGGCGAATCGTATTTAATTTCATCGAGATTTAATTTCATCCGATGCTGATTATTCGCCGGCTAATTGCGTGGAAAAGTCGCCTGATAGTCACAAAGTTCAAAAATCGCGCGAGATAGCTTCGTAACATCGTACGGAGAAGCGACGCACACTTAACGACCTCTCCATATGGTCGATTACTGTAAAAAGAATAAATCATCACGCGAGTAGCGTTCTAACGCAACGTAATTATGTAATTTACCCCGTCGATCCTACCGATCCTTTAAGTCAGCGCAAATCTCCCTCGCGCCCGCAAAGTGCATGCTCGTGTTCGAACAACAATCAAGTTCCGGGTCGATAAGGAGATTAACGGTTCAGACGTAATCGGTCGAGAGTGATCGATCCGCGAGGCGATTGTTTCCATCGATTCGCGCGAACGCTAATCATGGGAATAAAGAAGATTACGTAAAGCAATCACAAAAGAACCAGGAAGGATCCTAAATGTCAGCCGCCGTTCGACCTCCCCCTGAGGTCGCCCGTCGTATCTGCTCCGACCTTATGTCGTATCGTAAAAAATAGCACAGTCCCGCTCGAGAAATTGGCCCGAGGCACATGCTCGAGTTGATGAATGAATTTGTTGCGGTAAACGCCGCCATGAATAATGCCTCCAATGTAGCGAGGCGAAATGCCATCGCGTAGACAAGGTCTTCGGAGTTCATTGCGATCGCGCGATAAATTACGAAACGTGTTTGTAATCTATTCAATATCATGTGTCTCGGTTTCGCTGTCACGTAGGGCAAATTACGCGAAACCGCGCTTGCCCTTAACCCGCTGTACATCAGCGTTACGTCGTCGTAACGTGACTTCAACGAGATCTTATCGTGTGTCTATATTGCTAATACGCTGCTGAAACGTAGAGGAGCCAACGATAGATAAGAAGAGAAAAAGAGAGTGAGAGAGGGGGGGCGAGGGCGAGAGGGAGAGAGAGAGAGAGAGAGAGAGAGAGAGAGAGAGAGAGAGAGAAAGAGAGAGAGAGAGAGAGAGAGAGAGAATGAGTTCGCGCGCTGCACGATACACGCGGCGAGACGATGTCGACAACGAACATTTCGCTAATGGAACTAATTGCGCACGCGGACCTATTGCAATCAGGGATCGATAGAAATCAGCGCGGCTGCGTGACCTTAAATTCGCGCGTGTTCGCGCGAGAGGCAAATGCCGCGGCCGCGATACTTCTGTTTGACATTCATTTCGGTTCATTTGCAATGCGGATGTACGAGAACGTGCGATCGCATCCTTACCGCCGCGCGGCATTCGACGCTGTGTGTAATTGCGTTTTCAATGATTGATTGTATCGCGTCGTGTTGCTAAGTTAGATAATAACTGGCCATTGAAATCTGCATAACAATTATTGGATAACAATGAGCGACATGCCGCCGCCGTGCAGAGCGCGCGCGCGCGCACGCGTTCGCACAAGAGCGCACCTCGATTCCAGGGCGTAGCCGTTTCGCCGTGGCGGTATCTCACCACCGCGAGAATATGCGATCTTCTATCTATCTTTAGATCCCGATCCACAGATTCCTCGCTCTAACGACACTCGTCGGTGCCACGACCTTGCCGCCCAGAATGCTGCAGGATCTCGGTAGGCGCACCAACGTCTCCATGGAGCGGTACAGTCAGGCGGAACGGGCGATCCTGAACTCCCGCACGCATCTGAACCGCGGCTCGCCGTCCTGGTTCCTCGGCGCCTCGCATGAGATGACCGAGGGCGCCCAGAATCTGTCGAGAAGGGCCTTGAGGATCGAGACGATGGCGGTGATGCTCGTGGAGGCGCTCAACATGTCGTCGAAGCAAGCGTCCTCGGTGCTGCCAACGGTGGCCGCGATCCTGTGCCCCGACTCACCCAGCTTCCTGCGGGTGATGTCGGACTGCAAGAAGACGGATGTCCGTTTCAGGACGCACACCGGTCGGTGCAACAACGCGCTGCACCCGACCTGGGGCGCGGCTCTGGAGTCTTACGTGAGATTCCTGCCGCCGGAGTACGAGGACGGCGTTTCTCTGCCCCGTACAAAGCTGCCGAGCGCGAGAGAAGTCTCCTCGAAGGTACATTCCGGCGGGTTGGACCTTAAGCATCCTTACTTGATGGCGCTCACCGCGCTTTTCAGCCAGTTCCTCGCTCACGACCTGGCGCACACGCCCAGGATGGAATTGCCGGACGGCACCAGGCTCAAGTGCTGCGACGTCGACTATGAAAACTTCCACCCCGAGTGCTTCCCCATCCGGGCGGAGAACCCAGTCGGGTGCATGGAGTACGCACGGTCGGCGCCGCATCCTGGAAATTCGTTACAGGTAACCGCAAATGAAATCTTCCGTAACTTGCATTCACGAGGAAATCTTCGGACGCGCGCCGAGCTCTGCGATTTCTTCGCGTAAACTCGATTCGGGCATTTTTCACATATCCTGTGAATTCTACTTGAAGACTTGAAGCTCTCTTTCTCTCTCCCTCTCTGTCACTCGAATACGTTTGAAAGACGGCAATGGTGTCTCCGCTGATGATGGCACGTCGATCATCTACGAACGACGTGGGAAATTCACGTCTCTCGAAAGAATGGCTATCGGGAATATTTATAGCAAAAATCGCAGTGTTGAAACTTGAATACGAGCCTTCCCCGAAGCGCATCGCCGAGACAGCGAATGAATACCGAAACGAAACACGCATAAAGCGCGGGAAAAGTTTAGGATTAGGATTCTGTGGCGCGGAAGATTCGCGTGTACGTCAGATATCGTTCAATTCAGGGTTGCAAGTTGGGCTCAAGGCAGCAGATCAACCAGGCGTCCTCCTACCTCGACCTGTCGCCGCTCTACGGCAGCTCCGAAGAGACGGCCAGAGCTTTGCGGTCGGGCAAGGGCGGCTTGCTGAATACACAGCGAAAGAACCTGCCGATGGCCTCGCCGAGGTACGAGAGCTGCAGAAGCGCCAGCAAGGCGTTCCCGTGTTTCCTCAGCGGCGACACCAGGGTGAACGAGAACCCGGGTCTCACGCTGATGCACGTGCTGTTCTTGCGGGAGCACAATCGAGTGGCCGGGGAATTGGAACGGCTGAATCCTCATTGGGACGACGAGAGACTCTATCAGGAAGCGAGACGGATCGTTATCGCCGAGTTACAGCACATAACTTATAATGAGTTTCTGCCAGTCATCCTCGGGGAGAGCACCCTCGACAAGTACGTAACGTTTTCCTAAATTGCGCCTCGCTCATCTCCCAGCAAACGCTTCGAACATTCCTTTTCTTTCTCTTTTTTTTCTCTTCCAATGGACATTTGTCTGAAGTCTAAGACGTTGAGAGGGAGCAAAGCTGACAAAATGATGTATATCGCGCGCCACGTGACACCACGTGCATCTCTCGTGTGACGTGTATCTCGAAAGCGGTATCGACGACGTGTGCCCCGGCAGACAGGCGCACTCGCTTGACGCAATAATTTCATACATGCATCTGTCGTTTCCAATCGCGCATACGCCGGCTATTTCATAAATTATAAATTGGTGTCGCGTCCCGATAACTTCATTTGGCCGGCTTCAACGCGGCTTCTTGCCGCGTCATTACAAGAACTAATCGCAACACAGCCGGCGTACGCGATGAAAGATAAGCAGATAACGGTGTTGGGCTACACGAAAAGCGGTACTTCATCTCCAACGGCGTACGCGCGCGCGTGCATCGAGTCATATTTTACATATTTACGTAACGGGGCTTGCACACACAGAAGGCTCGCACCGCGACTCCCATAGCGCGAGTTATCTTCCCTATTGTTTGCAATTTTTTCATGCGCCGCGTCAGACGCGTCGGCCCGCGAGCCACCGACGAGCGCTTTTCCAGCATCAGCGAGTCAGCCGATCGGTGCCCTTTCCGAATCGATTTGCGCGACGACCCTGCTCACATAATCGGAAATTCCAACAGCGCGATGACTCCGCTTTACGTTCACTCGGGTGTCTTCCGATCGGCGCCAAATCAAATACACAACGCTCGTCTCGCACATGCGAGGAACATGTGTGGCGCAATCAAGTTACATCATATCACATCGACCCCCGCACTCTCCACGAGACGCAACACGCGTACGCGCGCGATTATCGCCTTTCTCCCGTTATCGTTGTCGTATCTGTTACGTGTTCCTGCGAAGGTTCAACCTGCGGCTGACACAGCGGGGCTACTTCCGAGGCTACGACAGCCGCGTGGACGCGACGCTCGCGAATTCGGCAGCGTCGGCCGGGCTCTTCTTCGTCGCCGCGCTGACCCCGAAAACCCTCGATCTCGTCGACTCGCGATCGGCGCTCAAGTCTGGCGAAAGGTCCTTACTGTCGGCCTTCTACGCGCCGCAGGAGTTCTACGAGGCTGGCGCGATCGACCGGCTGATCGTCGGAGCTACAGGTCAGTTGGGATCAGCCGTTGTAGTCGAAAACGTTAGTGTGTGAAGCAAAATTGCTGAAACGCGGCGGAAAGGAGGGGCAGGGTGGGGGGGGGGAAGAGATGTGTCGCGCGATAGTGAAATATGAGGATGAGGAGCGTAAGAAACGGATACGAGAAAGCGCTCATATCTCGAGACGGAATATCCGTCATAAATCTTCAGCGGTAATCTTCGCTATGAGTCTGACTGTGAGATTATGTTCTCATAACGCTATCGTGACGCGCGATTATCCAACGGCACGAAGATTTCATCCTTCGCGTTATACATCCATAACGTCATGATTTCTAAATTAGAATGCCTAACGTTCACTCGGCTTCTTTTCTAACGTGCGCGCGTAAACTCCTCCGCGCTTTTGCACAACATCGCACGGCGGCGCCAAGTGATGAATGTCACTCAAATTGCGCGTCGAGGAGGCCACACAATACCGGCAATCAAGTCAGCCGCGCTTGTCTCGCACCCAAGATGGAAATCAATGCATTACCTGTGGCCCCGGTATGTTAAAAAAATAAGGGAAATCATCTCGCGAGTGAAGGGAAATGCACTTGCCTCGCGAGATGCACCTCGCGCTCGATCGTAGTGAAATATATTTCAGTCAAACGAGGACGCAGCTCTCGCGCATTACAATTTACAACGATACACTGGAAAATGCCGTCGTTTCATGTAAACCGCTTAGCTGTGATTACTATTGTGCTTGGCGTGCACGCACGCTCCGTGCAGTCTTCATAAGATTGGCTTGACTTTTTATCACTTGAATATTTCCACCTTTCACTTTTTCTCTAAACGGTGTGTATAACGGTATTATGTTTTCATGAAAATATTACGAGTGAGGAAGAGAGAGAGAGAGAGAGAGAGAGAGAGAGAGAGAGAGAGAGAAAGAGAAGAAAGGATATTACAGTGGAGGAAAAATTCTCATATGACAATCCACGTTCTTCCTTCAAGAAAGAACTCCGTCATAGCGGAGTTTTATTAGCGTGGAAATTCTTATCACCGATAACTTAAATCGAAATCCGTCTTCTCGCGAGGAGAAGGAAAGCGAGAAGACTGCGCAAGCTTCGACACGATCTCACAAAAGTTCACGGAATATGTACTTCCATCTTCGCGCGCGAACAATAGCGCGCGCGAACTTTTTAATTACATAGTGGAAAAGAATGTAACATCGGTGAAAGGCACGTTGCAACGGTAGCGACGCCTTTTTTTGCGAAATTTTACGAGCGCACGTGACTCAAGGAAGTCAACGTAAAAAAGTTGATATTAAACTTTTTTGTACACATTTCGGGGAGCGGAGCGACGCAAAAATCGGGTTCCGTGAAAACGTGTACTCGTCCACGCTTGTCTCGGCCATCATTTGGGAACAGTCGGAATAGTAAAAAGAAAAGAGGGAGGAAAAAGGAGAAGTCCGGTTTATTCCTTCAAATTTTATATCCCGCAGCGCTATTTCGCGAAACGATCCCCAGCGTTACCGTGCACGACCCGGAATTTCCAAAGTGCTGACATAATTTTCCCGAAGACGGAGAACGGGAACGGAGAATGTCATTGTGTAACTTTCGTAAATTATAACGCCCACGAGAGAGGATAAGACGACGCGACGCGCGCGTAACTCCGTGCAAATTTAAATACCGTTTTCGTGCCGGCGCATACGTACGTCCCGATGATCCTTTTTTTTTCGTTCCTCGAACCGGTCCGAACTTTCAAAGAGAAGGAGGAAGCAACTTGGAAATTCTCCGCGCACACGTACACTAGTAAAATTGTCTAGGATGCTGACACGATTTACCGGCACTGACTCCCATGAGAACTTGGTTTTAATGACGATCTAGGATGCAAGATCTAATTTCCGCGACAGCGGGACATTCTAGGAAGCCTCTGCCTCCGGGCTTGAACGAAATACTCCTGGAACGATACTTCCACGACGGGAAGACCAACGACGTGGCCGTGGACTACGCAGCGCAAATTATACAGCAAGGAAGGGATCACGGCCTACCGCCTTACGTCAGATGGCGAGGCTTCTGTGATCTGCCGGATCTTGCCGACTTTCAGGACCTCAAAGGCACAGTGACCAAAGATACTGTCGAGAAGCTCAGAGCAGTCTACAAGTAAGATGAAATACAGAGAGAGAGAGAGAGAGAGAGAGAGAGAGAGAGAGAGAGAGAGAGAGAGAGAAAGAGAGAGAGAGAGAGAGAGAGAGAGAGAGAGAGAGAGTGTGTGTATATGTGTGTGTAAAAGATATAGGTAGTACACTGCAAATCCGAGTGTATTATTTTGACACGTATAAGCTGAAGCTTTCTTCACGCGTTTCTTGTCGTCTGAAATCACGTCTGATGCATTTCGATATCACTTAACGCGTTTAAACGCGTTAAACAACGTGATTTAAGACGACCAGATACGCGTAAAGGAAGCTTCAGCTTATATTTCATAATCATTCATAGCGTCAAAATTACACACTCGGGTTTGCAGTGTAATGTAGATCGTTATCACTTGAACTCGTACCGTGACTTTAAGTAAGAAGTAAATAGTATAATCATCACTCGAAATGTTCTACCGATTTTCTCGAGATTCTACCGATGTGATTTCGCGAATTGATCCAACCTGAAGAGCACCGTTCTCATTTCATTTGCAGGAACGTGGAGGATATAGATCTAGTGACGGGAGCTCTTTCGGAAGCGCCGATACCTGACTCTGTTCTCGGACCAACGTTTCTTTGTTTGTTAGGCCGAACGTTTCGGAATATCCGTTTAGGTAGACATTACTCTATCTTCGTGTAAGATGAATAATTTTCTATGGCGAAGTGAAGTGAATCTCGCGTCGCACGGGGCGCATTCTCGTCCTGTCGAATTTACAAATACGCGATCCGATTTCTCTGTCGCATTTTCTTAATTTCTCTTAAAATAACAATCCGCAGTGGAAGAGAGCGAGGGCCGAAGCGCGCTCCGTGTCTCGCAAATTTAAGACAGAATCGAAATTTTCATCTTATCTCTTACAATTTCCTCACATGTATAGGCGATAGGTACTGGTATGAAAATGGAAACACCCCCGGTGCATTTACGATAAAGCAGTTGGAAGAGATACGAAAGAGTACGATGGCGCAAATTTTGTGTCGCAACGGCGACAGGCTACAGTGGATGCAGCCGCGAGCTTTTATCTTGAAGGATCCTTTTCTGTAAATATTATTTCCGATCTCTAATTATCACGAATTCACTTACGAGTTCATAAACTGACACTGATGCAACGATATAGTCGACTGATGACGCGTTTAATCAAGCGATTTAATTCAAATATTATTTTTACTTTTCAGAAATGGCATGACAAACTGCACAGTCTACATAGCAGGATCCTTGAATTTAACAGCTTGGAAAGAAAGGACAGAAGATCCAATTTAATCTGAAACCTCACGTCCATCATCGTGACTTTAACATTGCTCATGTTAAACAATGTTGTTCCTGACCACATTAAGGATCGCATGTTCGATTAAAATCAGCGAGATATTTTGTTCCGCTACTACTTCCAAAATCGCGCAAATAAAAAAAAAACATGTTACATAGATGCTATCGCTAAGGTAAATTGATACAATTTATCTGTAGCGATTAATTGGAAAAATGTGTAATCGTCATTTCACTTCAGATACGGAACAAATCAACTTTAATCAAACGAAACTTTGTTAAGAAAATATTAATAACAATTAAGAATAAAAAATAAGATGTTTTTTTTTATAATCGATTCATTGTTGACCAATATATATATATTTTTTTTTTCTTTTTTTTTTATTAAGATTGCAACGTGCGTCAATAGTTTTAATACCTCATGTAACGAAAGAAGAACTGTTCATAATGATCTCCATCTCATTTCTAATACGCACATTTGTTAATACACATTTTGTTGTACTACTCGTTGTAATTTTATTGCAAGCTGCCACCGTTATTATATCTCCGAGTTATTTAATCTTAAGATTACGAATATATTTTCGCATGCGTTTGCATCATGGATATTCAATGTCGTTCTAAAAATGAAAATATTCTAAATTTGAAAATTTCGTTTGAACAATATGTATGATATAATATACGTATATGCGGGAGATATTCTAACGATGAATGATACACGATGGAGCAACACACGATGGAGTGATACACCGAATAATAATGCTGTATATAATACACACGCATATATATATATATATATATATATAGCTCGATCGTTTCAATCGAGCATTCGGTAGCATACTTCGTCTTCTTTTTTTTCCTTTTTTTCTCTCGCGTAGATTTAATCTCAGGACTTTAACTTATTTTAACTTCGATGTGTATTGCGCCCGAATAAAGTACATTATATAATATATTATACGCAACGATATGTAAACCTGTACGACGGATATCTCTTTTACGTTATTATATATTTTTCGTTCATTTGAAAGCCATATTAGCAGAGTATGAATCTCACCTAATTTCATCTTATATCAACAACTGTTGTCATCGTAACGTTATTCGAGGATCGCGAGAAAACAGTATCCGATCTCAGATATTCCGGATTGCAGCTCGTTTCCATACGAGCAACAACTTTCCCACTTGGTGCTATATGCTCGATTCAATATTTCACTTTTAAAACGAAACTGGCACCAAGCGCCATATATAGTTTCGATTGCAAAAGTTTTTTGACTTACCACGCGTAAGTCCAATGCATCTGCGCGTAACTATTGCAGGTTATCCGGGTTGTTTTGCCATATTCTCATCATGTTTGATACTTTGTCTTCCTCTCGCCTCTGAAACATTCACGACATTTTTCAAATCGTGAAAGGCCTAACAGATCAATCGCTCGAATCGCGTATTTTCAATAGCATATATAATCTTATATTTCTTTCGAGACGAGGAGGGGAGATTTAGATTCAGTTTAATCTGAGGACTTTTATTTATTTTAACATCGATATATATCGCGCCCAAATATACTTTATAATATACTGAAACATTATATATAATCTGTAAAACAGATATCTCTCTAGTACGTTTTTTTATATTACTACATATTTTACGTTCATTTGGAAGCCATATTGGTAACGTACTTTTATGTTCATTTGGAAGCCATATTGGTAACGTACTTTTTGCGTTGGAACTACGAATCTCGCGTATACTAATATATAAACTAAATCTCACCTAATTTCATCTCAAGTCGACGCCTGTTGCCATTTTAACGTTACTTGACACGAAGAATTTACAAGGAGACGGTATTCGATCTTGATTATTCCGGATTGCCGCTCAATACTTTACGCTCAATTCAACGTCTCGCTTTCGAAACACGGAAATTGGCGCCTAACATTACGCGCATTCCGATTGTAAAATTTGTTTGACTTACCGTAGATGCTGACATCTAACGTCACAGAACGTAACTACTGCAAACTATCCGCGTCCTTTTCTCATCGCGATTTGTCTCCCTCTAGTTTCTAGAACATTCGTGATGTTTCTCACAAATCACACAAGACATAATAGATGAATCGTTTGAATCGCGCATTTTCGATAACATATATCGTTTTATTTCTTTTCTTTCGAGGCGGGAAGAAAAGTTAGGTTAAATTTAGCCTAAAGACTGTGACCCATATTCAGAACATGCTTATAATTATGTTAGTGCGCTGTTAACTAATCAGAAGGCATATTGCGTGGCTTTTCATTGGTTAACAACGCGCTAACATAGTTACAAGCGTGTTCTGAATATGGGCCCTTATCTCTATTTTAATTTCGATGTGTACTGCACCTCAATAAAGTATGTGTAATATTATAAATTAATATATTGCCACAAGACGTATAAATTATAAAACAGATATATGCATCGTGTCTTTTGTGTTACTATATTTTTTATATTCATGAAAAAGCCATACTTTATGTACATGTACCTTTTGCGTTAGAAAGAGAGAATTTCGAATCTCGCGTATATCTCTGATGCAACCACGACTGCGTTCCGATATTCACTGCCAGTACTGAAAATACATAGTTTGTGATCTTAAATATAAGACTGGACTATGAATACGGCCCTACATCTTACCTAATTTCATCTCATATTAGCAACCGTTGCTATCATTAACGTTACTCGACACGAAGAGCTTACAAAAAAATAGCATTTGATCTCGATTATTCCGGATCATCGCTGCTCGATGCTTTAATCGTCGCACGATTTAACATCTCGCGTTTGAAAGTCGAAAATTGGCGCCCAGCCACATATAATTCCGGTAGCGAGACCTCTTTGACTTACCATGCACATAAACGCCTAATGCAACAATGCGCAGCTATTGCAGCTATCCGCATAACTTTATCAAAACAATTCCTCCTATATATATATATATATATAACGACTTTTTTAATATCTTATCGTGTTTGATGCTCGATCCTCTTGCCTCTGATTTCAACGGAACATTCGCGATTCATCTCGAATCACGGCGGACGTAATAACCATGTATAGCTACCATTGGCGGATTCCGCAAGATTCGTTATCTCATTAGTGGACGTGACCGTAACCATTTCCCGATCATCGACGGGGAGCAACACGAAGTGCGAGCCTGCGAGCGTGTCTGCGCATTACGGGTCTTTTCATTCGCGGTTGCGTCATTACACGTGAAGAGGGTAACCCGCCTATCCTACTAATTTGTTGGAACTCCAAGGAATCGTCAAAAGAAAGCCAAAATGTTGACCGCCGCGAAGATGCTGAGCCGCACCTACGTTGGTGTATCAGGTGACATAGTCAGAAAGCAACAATTCAGCACAATCCTAAAAAATGTGAGTCTTGATAGCGAAATCGTCACGCGGTTTCGTCGTGCTTTTTCTAGCTTCTTGCAATCGTAGCTATTTGTGTGGTCATCATTTGACGAAATGGTTCGCCGCTGACGATGCGTATTTATTACTATAGCCGATAGATTTTAAATCACTTCGCGATTGCAAATAGTAATATTACCCCGATTAATTACATTAATCTCGCTACGACGCCGATTTTAAAGCCGGCACGTGAACGCACTATTATCTTACGTTCACCAAATACCTTTAGATCTTACAGAATGATAACAGTTTTAGTCTCTGATATTTTATTCTTCAGTTTGATTACTTGACAATGACTATTCTTTGCTTCAGGAAACTTTCAGTCCTGCTATTATGATTTCTATTTTGCAACAAGATTCTCAGATAAAAATCCTAGCAGTATTAAAAGTATACTTCCATAAAAAATTGATGTATATATGTCAAATGCATATATAAAATTAATCTAATTATTGTTCTACATGAGAAATAAAAATTTTGCTGTTTTAATTATTAATGTTCTTTTAAATTGACAAAATAAGTTACAAGATAATCTATGAATTGTAGCATTTCTCCTTACCGTTATGGTAAGCTTAAAAAAAAATTATAATTCCATGTTCCTTCCTCTTCCTTAAATTTATTTAATAAAAATTTTCTTGAGAATATCCTGATATGTATAATTTGTATATGTGTGTGTATATATGTACATACATATATATGTATATATATGCATGATAAAATGATCTAAATATTAAGATATATATATATATGCATATATTAGTCTATTCATTCTTAATATATTAAAGGTTGCTGTTCCATTAGTTACTGTACCACAACGATTTACTGACTTACAACAATATCGACACAAGTGAGTAAAAAGAATATATATAAAATATAAATATATCAATTCTTGTATATATTGATATTTTATTAATATTAATGTCATATTTATATTGATATATATTATTGTATGTCACATACTAGATTATGCGCATCAGAATTCACAAAACATCAATCATGATATTATAAACACAACACTATAAATCTTAACATATCTCTTTTTGATCTAAAATAATATGAAAATAAATCAATTATAGATCGGAAGGTGTAAAAGGTGCAGTTATTGGTATCGATCTTGGAACTACTTTCTCATGTGTAGCAGTGATGGAGGGTAAACAAGCTAAAGTTATAGAAAATGCTGAAGGCTCTAGAACTACTCCATCTTATGTTGCTTTCACAAAAGGTAATTGCTAAGTCATTGTTAGCATTATTTTTATATATTGATAAGCTAATGACTTTTGCATTCTATTATATGTCATTATAAGTTGCAGTAATTTAATAACAATTCATAGATTTCGCAAATATCTTTATCTTTTCAGATAACGAGCGTTTGGTCGGTATGCCTGCAAAACGACAAGCAGTTACAAATTCTGTCAATACATTTTATGCAACAAAACGATTGATTGGACGCAGATTTGAAGATCCTGAAGTAAAAAAGGATATGTATGTATTATATCGATATCTATATGATTTGTTTAAACATATGATTATACAGATATGTATCTGTATGCTGATATATATAATATACTTTTATAGGAATAGCGTGTCATATAAAATTGTTAAAGCATCTAATGGAGATGCATGGGTACAGGGTGGAGATGGAAAAATGTATTCTCCCAGTCAGATAGGAGCATTTGTATTAATGAAAATGAAGGAAACTGCTGCATCTTACTTAAGCACTTCAGTAAAGAATGCTGTCATTACTGTACCAGCATATTTTAATGATTCACAACGACAAGCTACAAAAGATGCTGGTCAGATAGCTGGATTGAATGTACTTCGTGTAATTAATGAACCAACTGCAGCTGCGCTTGCATATGGCATGGATAAACAGGAAGATAAAATGTATATAAGAAATATGCTATATTGATATATAATACGAAAAACACTTGTAAATGTAATGATTATCATATTTTTCGTCTCTTAGAGATATGTATTTATCAAAAGTGCTGACACATTTCTCTGAACATTGTGTTATATATTCCTTATAATTGAAGAATAGAGAAAAGGTGATGAGATAACAAAATTTATTTTTCTCTTCCAGTATTGCTGTTTATGATTTAGGTGGAGGTACCTTTGATATCTCAATTCTAGAAATTCAAAAGGGTGTTTTTGAAGTGAAGTCAACAAATGGTGATACATTTTTGGGTGGAGAAGATTTCGACAATGCTTTAGTTAATTACCTTGTGAAGGAGTTCAAAAAAGAGGTATTTATTCTGTTGCAACTTTTGATTATAATAATTTATTATAATGTGTTATGTCTGATGACTTGATAAAACATTGCAGCAAGGTATCGACGTGACTAAAGACGCAATGGCAATGCAAAGATTGAAGGAAGCGGCGGAAAAAGCGAAAATTGAGCTGTCGAGTTCGCTTCAGACAGATATAAATCTGCCCTACCTTACTATGGATTCTAGTGGACCAAAACATTTAAATCTGAAATTGTCCCGAAGTAAATTTGAAAGTCTCGTAAATGATCTGATCAAACGTACCATTACACCATGCCAGAAAGCACTTTCTGATGCTGAAGTCTCGAAATCTGACATTGGAGAAGTCCTGTTGGTCGGTGGTATGACCAGAGTTCCTAAAGTACAACTAACAGTTCAAGATATATTTGGTAGACAACCGTCGAAGGCTGTAAATCCAGATGAAGCTGTTGCTGTTGGCGCTGCAGTTCAAGGAGGTGTACTTGCAGGAGACGTGACGGATGTCCTGCTACTCGATGTTACTCCCTTATCGTTAGGTAAATCATTAATGCTTCAAGTTGTTCTGTTATCGCGTATATATACAAAACTGTGATGTATCAGACTAATCTTCTCTCTGATATTAATGAAGATACCGATTTACTGAGTTTCTTTCTATTAGTCTAACTTTCCAAGTAAAGTTGCAGCTATATACATATATGTGTGTCGTGTGTAGCAAGGGAAAAAACTTTTTAAATTTTACTGTACAGGTATCGAAACACTTGGTGGTGTATTCACAAGATTAATCTCTCGTAATACAACCATACCCACAAAAAAGAGTCAGGTATTCTCTACAGCAGCGGATGGTCAGACTCAAGTGGAGATTAAAGTTCATCAGGGCGAACGAGAAATGGCTAGCGACAATAAACTCTTAGGACAATTCAGTCTTGTTGGAATTCCACCTGCACCGAGGGGTGTACCGCAAATAGAAGTAACATTTGACATTGACGCGAACGGTATAGTGCATGTATCAGCCAGGGATAAAGGAACTGGCAAGGAGCAACAAAGTATGTTGTTTTTTGCATTATTTGTTATTATTTATATATATATATATATATATATATATATATATATATTGATGAAGATATAATTGACACTACAATGATGAATTTTATTTTTCGTCGCTCAAGTTTATTTTAAGATAAAGTAAAATGTGTGGACATTCTTTAACTGAATTATCATGGTAATTAACGACGAATTATGTTTCTCATACGGTATTATTATTTCAAACCGCATGTTTCATTACAGTTGTTATACAATCCAGTGGTGGCCTTAGCAAAGATGAAATTGAGAACATGGTTAAAAATGCGGAACAATACGCTAAGGCAGATAAAATTAAAAAGGAAAGAGTTGAAGCTCTAAACCAAGCAGAAGGAATAATACATGATACAGAAACAAAGTTGGAAGAATTCAAAGCTCAAGTGCCTCAAGAAGAGGTAATTTTACTATTAATTATTACAATTTTAAACATTTCACGTCAGGATGTTTTTATACGTATATTTTTTTGCAGTGCGACAAGATTAAAGAATTAATTGCAAAATTGCGAGACACTTTGAGTAAAAAGGATGATGCGGATCCTGAAGAGATTAAAAGACAAACGAATGAACTCCAGCAAGCCAGTCTAAAACTGTTTGAGATGGCGTACAAAAAAGTATTCAATCTATGAATCTTAATTTGATAAACACAAAAAGCATTCTGCACGCAATTAAGTGAATATTATTTAATCACATTGATTTTACAGATGGCTGCAGAAAGAGAAAGCAGTCAAAACCAGTCACAACAGGAACCTGAAGGTGAGAAGAAAGAAGAGAAAAATTAAATATAATTATGTAATTTATGAAATAAACAAATTCCATGCACACATTTGTACAAGCGATATCTGTTGCAATATTGCAAGCTTAAGTTCATTTATTCAAGTAAAAAAGAAAAGAGGAAAATAGTTTAACGTAAAATTAAATTTCAATATTTTGCAAGCGATAATGAACAACAAACTAACGAAATTAAGAAAATAGTATATGTATTTCTCTTATATATATATATATATAATTACATACATATATATACGTATATAATTACATTCACATACTTGCATGGTTGTAAAGGTCAGAATCTTGTATTTTTTAATGTCACGCAAAATTAAATTTCTTGCAAAGTCTAAAATGCAACAATTATCGTTATGTGCATAGACACGGTTCTAAATTAATTTTTCTTAAAAACTCAATAGTATTATGTATTTTATACTGATGGTAAACAAATGATCAACAAATCAAACCTTAAAATATTTAGTTGATTAATTTTTACCTGCTTACAAATTATGTACACAGTTCACTTGCATAATATAACTGATGCAAATACAGCCTATAAACCAAATGCAAGATCAAGGTACCGTTCATAGTTACAATGATTAGCGATGTAAAGCGATTTGTACCAAAAACAATACAATAATGGTTTGTTAACAGTGTTATAATCTCACTATTGTAGAATGCTATGATAGTATATCCAATGAATGAATGTGAGATGAGAAAAAATATAAAGATGAAAGAGAAAAATGGAGAGAGTGGGATGAATGTGTGTATACAGAATAAGTTAATTCTGTAAGAAAAAGATTATTATAAAGTATATCGTTAGATTACCACAGTAACTGAACTTTTTTATTTGAATACCCTTGATCCAAAGAATACACTACTTGATAGTTTTGTTATATTATTCAATAAATCTTTTAAACTAATATATGAAAATAATTATAATATATCAAATTTCTGCATTGAGATTTTTTTTAGAGGAGAATGAATATACAGGGTGTTTGGTAATTCATGCAGCAATACCAATGGAGCCAATGGAGGCGTAGAACTGATTAAGACAAATATTTACTATAATTATCGAGTTATTAATTATAGAAATTTGAAGAGTGAACGCGTGCCGAGATGGGTGATTGGAGAAATATTACAGCCGTTCGGGCAAAAGTACAGCCCAGTCGATCTAACAACTGTTGCCGGCACGCAGCGAAGAGGACAACACTCTACTACTCGTGCCTTATGTCCTTATTAATTTACATTATAAGAATACTCTACATTTTTAGGTGGCTGTCGTGGATACATGCTTGTGGTAGACTGAATTTATTGCATAAAAGTTCTAAATATTTATTTATTGCATAAAGGTTCTGCTTATTACTCTTACTATCTGTGCCATCTTCGCTTTGAAGAACATGAACACAAAAGTATAGGAAGAGTATATCTAAATACTTGCTATACTAAATTTTTTGGACCTACTTGTAACAAGTGTCCAGTTACAACTGTGCACTATGTAATAGCAATAGAAATAATTATTAAGTGATTATAAACAGATAATAGGTAATAGATCCGTTGCTTTTAAATAAATAGAGTTCTTTGGTCGCGCATGCGCATTTCACTTTTGCCTTCATTAACATCAAAGGTGCCGACAAGAAGTTGCACTACTGTATATACCACGGTTATACAGTCAAAGGATAGTATCCAATCATCTTTATACAATCTTATCTTCCTTAAAGTATAGAATAGCATATAAGATTAATATCATAATTCTCGCCTGATATATTAATTACAAAATAAAATTAATAAATCAAAATTGCCGTCATTATACAAGTTTGGTACAGTTTTTGACATGTTATCAATGTATAACTCACAGAGCTCTCTCAATATCTATGTAACTTCTCTCTCTCTCTCTCTCTTTCTCCCTCCTTCCCCTCTCTTTCTTAGCTAGACCCAGGATCTTTCATTTCAAAATATATTAAAATAGCATTAACTATGTAAACACGGATTTGTACTGTTTTTTTTAAATAAAATCATTTTGAAAATCTTGATAAACACAAAATTTGATTTAGATCAAACATACTGATTCTTAGATACAATCTAAATTGTTCCACACATCAGAATTGATTTAGCATCTGCCATATGCAAGATTTTTACACTACCCAATATTCAAAAGTTAAAAGTGAGTAAAATGTTTATTGGCAATTCGGGAAGTCATAATTTGGTACATCCTTAAATTAATTTTGCATATTAGCTAATGTCACTGGATTCATTTCTATCTGTTCTCTTGGACTGACCATTTGCTGTTGCATTCCAAATACTTGTCTATATTGAGGTTGCGACTACAATGAAAAAATGTTGCTTGCAATATGCATTTAACTTATACATAGTGGATTAATATAATTAAAATTTTATTTCTCATTTGCTACAATAAATGTTTGAGATCAATATTATTGATAGAGACAGGACACATCAATTTTTATTAAGTGTTAACCTGTTAATTAAGTTTTAGTAGCTGAGTTGAAGCTTCTTTGTGCTTATTGTATAAAAATGCCCTGTATAAAAAAAAAGGAAAAGCAATATTACTTAGAACACATGGCGATAACTCTTTTAACCGATTTTGAGCAGAACGTTTGTCATGTAATTATGCCAAAGCTATTTGTGATTAATTAAAAATTGAGAATTATCTCAAGTTGCTGTTTATATTGCATTTCTTGTTGCTGCGCCACTGCCAGGTTTTGTTGAATCTAATAATTGCAACTATAAACATATCTGTATCCGAGAGTTAGTTCTATTCGTAATTTAAGATTATATTAATTTCCAACTGTTGTTGAGCGGCCACTAACATTTGTCTGTTTTGAATTTTCCACAGTCTTTGATAATTGGGTAATGTAGAATATGGGCCTTCTCACCAATTTCGCTGAAAATTTATACAATTATGTATTTTAGTGCATAGAACACAATTTTGAAAGGAAACAGCGTTGCTCTCAAACAGATCAAAAGTTATAAAAGTTTGAAAAATGACGCACATGGAATAAAGAAACCTACCATACCGATAATACAGACTAACTGAGCAGCATGTGCAATTTGTCAACGTGTAAAGTAATACCAGAGAGGAACGTGAGAGCGGCCAACACGGCCTTTTCGGAGACATCGACTTTCCGCACTAGGAAAAGGCGCCATCTGCATCCACTTTGAGAGAGGAACTACGATACTACATCCATTTTCAGGTTTCGGTGGTAAATCCTGCATGTACCATAATAACGTACTTGACAACCCCGGTCTCGCACATTGTTACGCGTTTATAACATGAATTAACATGTTAACATGTACAAAAGAAAAAGAATTGACATTGTGTACGATTAATATCATGAAGATCATACAAAGGGTCCGATAATTAGCTGCCAACCCGAAGTGTCAGGGTAGATTGAGTTGAGACAAACACAAAAGTCCCAAACCGTTTTGCGAGATTCGCAATAATTATCGATTTATTAATGACAGAAATTTGAGGAGTTGTAGTGTACCGACATAGATGATTGGAGAAGTGTTACAAATGCTCAGGGCAGCGGTCATGAATCTTTTCCCTAACGTGAACTAGTGAAAAGTGAAAGACTTCTGTGAATTAATGAAAGATGAAAAATTTTATATGAATTTGTGAAAATCGAAACATTTCATACGACAATTGAACAACAGTTCTGGCAGTTGCGTTCTGGATAATTTTTAATGAACATCAAAGAAATCAAAATAATCAAAATAAAAATGTCCGTATGGTCTGAAGGATATTACGTGACACGCAAAATCCGTCTGATATAATATCCAAAGAAAATGTTTCGAAATATATATGTACAGGTAATATAAACCTTTTGCACCGACGAAATACTATAAAAACTGATGACCTTTACGGGATTTAGGGTACCAGAAAAATTTCGCTGTGCACTCTTAGGAATATCGTGGCCGAAATATGAAACATAGCTCGAAATAAGCATGGATGGTAACAGATATGGAATAATGGGAAAAAGATATCGGAAGATATCAAAGACTATTAATACAAAGTCTTAACGCACGATCAAGCGCGAGTTATGAAGATTCAGTTTCCGCGAAGAAACTATAGTCGGAAGACATTTGCAGCCGCGGTCGAATTTAACGCTCGCGTTCGCAAGGTTCTAATATTCTACTCGCGAAGTGACGCCATCGCCCCTCTTTTCACAACGGTGCGGACGTTTAACTCCTTTTTTCCTTTACCGCGACAACGATACTGCGACTCTAACAAGGCAAGTTCGCTTATAACCAGCGTTTATGTCAAGAGTGCTACTCGGGAACATTCCGCTCGAGGGGTTAGTCCGCGATAGAAAGTGTCCTGCGACCGGAGGCCGCTGTGGTTTAAAGTTAAATTGCAGCAAGAGCTATCCGGCAGCCCTGAGACGGGCTGCTATCATCCGTCCGTGACGCTGCCTCGCGCCTTTGCGATTATCGGCAAATTCAGTTTTCTCGATTGTTCGCGCGATTTCAAGTGGCCATAATATGTGGCGATAATACATGGTAATATGTGGCAATAATATATGGCAACAATATACGGTAACAATATATGGCAACAATATATGGCAATAACATATGGCCATAATATATGGCAATAATTCATGGAATATATTTTTCGTTACCAAAGTCAATGCAAATTTACGGCATGCACAATGTAATAATAAAAGAGCTCTCTGCGAGCATTGAGTCAAACGCTCACCGATGATGATATTGATGATGATGCGTTGCATCCAACCAGATCCATCAATGTCTGCCCGTGTCCGCAGCCGTTCTCCATGTTGCGCAGCATCCATTTTGCAGCGCGTCCCACGTTGATTGCTACACTTCCGCGACGCGGTCGATATTTGTATTAGAGCGGCGATATTTGCGTCAATTAACGAACGTTTTACGTCGACATCGGAGGAAACTTTTTACGCGCTGCGAAACGGTCTCTAAATAAACTCGATTCGCGAGGAGCAAGAACCGTGTGAAAATTTATCGATTTGTCCAACGGATTTTTATGGCGCTTTTCGCGATCACGTCTGAAAAGTAGCGAAAATACGGGAGTATCGATATCTACGAGAATATTCGCGAATGCATATGAGGGAAAATTAGACAATTAGAAACCGGTCACTCCGAGGGGGCGCAAAGAGGGAGAGCGGGGCAAAGTTTTCACGCATGCTAGTTCCGTCACGACGAAGCTTACGTTCGCGATACTTTGGCGAAATGAGAATTTAAGCTTTCTTTGTTAGCAGCGCGGGTAAAAACGCGTATATTGATAACCGCGGTCGCGATATTCAAAGGCACGCGAGCGAGGATACCTCAAGCTCATCGTGCGCTGGCGCAATTTCTGCGCGCATTATACGCTACTCGAGACAATAGGGATCGTGATGAATAGACAATATTGCCAAATAATTTTACAGCCTGTTTCGGAAATGAAAGAAAAGTAGTCAACGGTATCGGCATTTATGCGTATGAATATTATATTTTACGGACAAATACGGACAATTGAATATTGTCAAATAATTGACGTTAAATAATTCTGTGGCCCGCTTGAAAAATGAAAATAAAGTAGCTGATGACCGTATCGCGTTTGTAGATATGAATATCTCTTATTCAGATGAACATCAAAAGAGAATCATTCGGTATTTTAAATCTCGTATGTAATGCAGGCTATCGATAAAGTAATCCCCTGATTGTTTCGAGTAATGTATCTTATTCAACGTCACAAACACAAACATGCAAAATCTATTTGCAATTCGCATTGACTCGAACGATATTTTATCTAGTCCCACATCCGTCATGCGGAATTTTATTTCTTTTTTCATTTTGTATTTAC